CTTCAGAATAATGCAGTCTGGAATTATTGTTCTGTTTTAAAGTGCTAATATTAGCACAAAATATAATCACAATTATTTCAGATACTAATTGCATGCTCTCTTTTTGGCAATTGTCAGTTGTCTTTGCAACATGCTTTATATAGGTTTAGATAAAGGCTGTTAATAAGTGGTTTCAGAGGGCAAGTCTTTGTATGTTCTTCTGGTACAGCAGGTTATCAGGCTCCCAAGCTTTCTGAATATGTACTGAGGAATGTTGATACCAAGCAATGTGGGAGATGCTAATACCGAATATTTAGCAGGATTAATCCTAGGAAGGGATTAATGTAGAGTATGCAAGTCCCTTAATTTGCTCTCCTTCCTACTGGAGTAGAGCAGCAACTTGGTACCCAAAATAATGAATTAAACAATCTTAAAAATATGAGAACTGAAGTTGAGAAACACTAATTTATTGTAGTTGTTTAAAAATCTTCCAGCGGAGGAAATTGTAAAGACACAAAGCCACTTGGACCTGGGTTTGGGCTGCAGTTTAGCCTGTGTATATATAGGCATAAATTTGGGAAAGGACACGACAGGCTGAAGATTCAAGATACTTTAAAACCACTTTATAACCTCTCAAGACTGGAAGTCTAGGGACTCGGCAGGCAGAAAATGGGTCAGTATAAGCTTGTTCACATGCCCCCACCCGTCCTTGCCTGCCTTCTAAAGCCCCCATGTAACAAGCTTAAATAGTTGGCAAAACAATTATCTTTGCAAGCCCAGTGAAAATTGAGCCATATGCCTATTCATTTGTTCACTGCTAACAAAGTCTCAGGAACAATTCAAAGTAACCTTATATCAGATAATAATTTTAGCACAAAATTTAATTTTTGTACAAAAGAAATGCTAGTCTCTGTCAAATATCTCAAGTCTTATTTTTAAGAAAATAGAAAGTGGTTCTTTTGTGTCCCTGCTAATACAGTATTTTATAAAAGTCTGTTTAGTTTTTCACATATACTGCCAAAAGAATTTTTAGTTTGTGGCTTCTTGCAGTTATGACTTCCATCTGTTTCCCTTTATTCGTTTATCATTCCGGATTCCAATTTTCCCCTTTTGGTTTGGGATGGTATTTTATAGAGATTTATTTTTTTAGAAAAATAATCTCTGGTAGATTAGATTGAAAATGTATGTAATTATATATTTGCAGTTGAAAGTTCAGACTAGGACATTGAGCTGCATTGTTCCACAGTGTGGAGATTCCATTTTTGAACATTGTGATAACTGTTTATTTTATAAATCTCTTTTTATCTATCTTTTAAAGTTGCTTTAACTAGCGGTTATTATATAATCCTCTAAAAAAGCAATCCCTTGTCATTATATATTGCATGAAGAAATTTATCTGTCTTGAACAACTGCTAGTCAATGTAATATTAATTGTCATTATTTATTCTTTCCAGAACTAGTCCAGAACATTTAATATGATATCGTCCCTTTGTTTTGTGGCCCTTTCCCTTACAAATAAAAGCTCCACCCTTTTAAGTATTTTAAAGGGAGATGTTCCACCTACCTCATCAGATAGTTCTTTCTACAGATGAATAAGGCACTATGCTGGAATAAACATTTTGAGATATGGTTTCAAATTGCACAAATATTTTCAAGTATAAACATACCTGAAATTTGTTTAATAAAATTATGATGCTGTTTATTACCATTACCTCCCATCAAATATGCTTTTTTCACAGATACAGACCACTTCATTTAAAAAAAAAAAAAACATGGGTATTTTTTTTCATGGTTAATTATAAACAGTATAAACTGTATTACTACAGCTATCAAGTTATGGTTGATTTTTCTCAAACTGCATATACCTCAGTGTTTCCTTACATTAAGTTTCATCTCTCTTTTTTTAACTTTTGCTTTAGGCTGAGGAAATCATCCCGAACTATTATTTATTATTATGTATTTATTTATTTAAATTATTATTATGTATTTATTATGTATTTATTTATTTAATTTATATCTCACTATCCAAAGTGACTCTTGACACCATATAAATTTGCAGTGGATCTGGGCGTTTATTATGAATGAATTGAAGCTATTCAATGAATTTTGTTATTTCATGATTCTTCTGATTATTTATAACTCAATACCGACCTTTGGGAATCTCCTAACTCACTTTCCAGAATGCACTGCTGAGTCTCATATATGTATTTCAATACTCTCAAAAAATTCTGAATAATTGGTGTTAAAATCTCTATCTTGAAAATATGAGGAGAATATGTCAGAGAAACAAAAATGTATAGAAATAAATGTAGATAACTGTAAGAGACACGTGACACAGTACTGTTAAAAATGCTTATTGTTATGTAAATTGGAAAAATGGAAAATTAAAATAAAAAAAGAGAAAGAAAATATGAGGATGTTCTGTACAACTATAGCTCTGTTTTGATGCTTTGGCCAACAAAAAAGACCTTCCATCTCGGTTCAACTCAGAATCCTAAAATATAGCAAATATTATTTACTTTGAAATTTCCAGATAGTGAAGTTACTATAATCATTTTATTCTCATATGCATTAGAAAAAAAATCAGGAATATGTACATTTAAGTACCTACAGCCGTGGTGGCGAACCTATGGCACGGGTGCCACAGGTGGCACGCGAAGCCATATTGCTAGGCACGCGAGCTCAGCTCCAGCATGCATGCCTGCACCAGCCAGCTGATTTTCGGGCCTTCTGGGCCCACCAGAAGTCAGGAAACACACTGTTTCCGGCCTCTGGAGGGGCTCTGTGGGGGGAGAGGCTGTTTTTTCCCTCCCCAGGCTCCTAGAAAGGCTCTGGGCCCACCGTGCCATCACGTGCCAAAAGCGGGGGGAGCATAGGGGGGCAGGGCGCATAGAATTATGGATGTGGGCACGTGTGCGTGTGACCTCACCACACTCTCCCCGCTTTTGGCACGCGATGTCAAAAAGGTTAGCCATCGCTGCCCTACAGTTTAACTGTTTTTTTTACCATTCTTTGTTAACAAGAATGGATAATACTAATTTAATCATATTCTTACAAAATATTTAAACATTTTGAATCTGAGCAACCATAATTTTATATTGCCATGCCTAGTATCACTGCTAATTACTAAATACAGTAAAGTCCCAGAAATAGAAAATTGCATTACTATATAAATTAGTAACTAGAATTTATACCTTCCATCCAAGTAATTGCCAATGCTTTTTAAAATAAATGTTTGGTCCAACTTGCTAGATGTTGAAATCATTCATTGGCTACCTACATGATCTAAGATCCTGGTGCCAAATTGATTTTTATTCAGTTTCTCTCATTTATTCATGACTACATTTCAGTTCTGTTTGAAAGCAAAATAAATGGCTTTCTGCTCATGAAGGTGGTATGACCGACTTGTGCATTCAGACTTGTACTTCAGACTTAAAAGAGACATAACTGCTATCCAACTGACAAGGCCTGCTAATCTTTGATGCCCTGTAAACAGGAGTGAAATGCTACTGGTTCACACCGGTTTTGGGCGAACTGGTAGTAATAAAAGCTACCGGTTTGGGTAAACTGGTAGGAAATCCTGCTTTCTAGTGAATCTAAATTGCGTGGCACAGCTGTTCCCCCCTTCACTGTTCTACTTACTTTCTTAAACCTCCTTTTTCCGCACAAAGAGTGCGTTTGGTGCACACTGCGCATGCGTGTGCATGCAGTGTGTGTTTGGCATGCATCACGCATGCACATGCAGCGAACTGGTGGCAAACCACGGAGGATTTCACCACTGCCTGTAACTTTTTCTGAAGCAGCAAAGTGGGACCAGCCCAGGGGTGGGATTCAGCCAGTTCATACCGGTTCAGGCAAACTGGTAGTTGTGGCCTACGGGTGGGCCCCCTGCCCCCTGCCCCTGCGCTATGCTGTCCTATTTAGCTGTGTTTTTTAAGCCGTTCACATGCGCACACTCACATTTTCGGTGCTGGGGTGAACCGGTTGTTAAATTATGTGAAGCCCACTCCTGGACCAGTCTATAATACCCTGACTTCAGCCACCCCTTCCTCAACAATGTCCTGATCCATAAAAATTCCATACTGATTTCTGTTTTCATAGTCACTATTATGTTATTACAATTATTCATATCTTGCCTCTCAAGATAATAATTTTCCCAGATGGCTTAATTGGATGAATTTCTTCCTTTGTAATGGCTAGCCACTGTTAAAAGACTTTAGGGTTGTTTCAATCTCTGGGTTGGGTAATACATTTCCCAAGGCCTTTAATTAAAGGAGAGGTGAATTTCTAATTCTAATTCTCCTTTGTCTATTTTACTACAAAGTTAATTTGAAGAGAACTTCCTATCACGCCATAGGCTGTATTAATTCTCTAATTCTGGGGAATCTTTCCTGCCCTCTACATGAAGATAGGTTCCACTTTGCTGAATATTGCTTTGTTCCACTTTGTAACTGTGAAGCTCTTATTACTTCAAAGATTATTATCACAGTTCACAGTTACTTTTCTACTGTTGTTGAAATGTTTGCTTTACTAATTAAAAAATAAGATTTGTGCAATATTCTAAAAAGTCTTCCAAGTCAAATTAGTATGCTAGTTTAAAAAGCATATCATAGATTAGTCAAGGAAATATTGCTACAAATTTGGTCGGTTTCTGTCTCTCTCTCTCTCTCTCCTCTAGGAGACAGCTCACTATTATAAAAAAAATCAAACTTGTTCAGGAATTTCCACAAATCACATAGAAAAGTACATTTGAAAAGCATAATAACAAAATATCTCAGGCTAAACATCAGTGTATCTGATTTCTTAATCATGCATATTTTATAATGTACAGTATTAATATTTTGAAATATATTTTGCGATAGAATATTAGCTTTGTATCAGTGAAATGTGCAGTAGTTTGACATAACTCTTCATATAAGTAATCTGCCACTTTTTCTTTGTCCATTATAATATCAATTTAGAACCATCTTTATTTGTGTTCCCTTTAGCTAATCAATATGTCTGTTTATTTTATGTTACAGCAAGAGGCCACCCAGTGCTAAAATCAGCTGATATTCGAATTGCTGGTGCTCTAGTTGCTGCATCAATACGAGAGAGAAAGAAGAAGGAGCAAATGAAAGAAGAGGGATTAAATGTGTTAGAAGAGAGTGACTAAGTCAGGAAGCAAATCACAGACAAGTGAACCTTACAGCAACATCCGATTGAGTTAATAGTTAACAGAGTAAAATCTTAGTTCTAACTTCAGTTTCCTCTAATGGAAATTTCCAATGTTGAAAACGAAAAGTATTTCATTCTTAAAGAAGATAATAGAAATACATCTCCTTAGTCTCTAGGGCTAGGCAATAGTTAAAATTCCTATATTTTATAGGAACAATACAAATAAGTTAAAAAACCTGCTTTGTAAAACAATTTGATTTTATTTATATGAATCATAATGCAGGAGACTATATTATTTTGCTATATAGTGATACAGTGTATGATATAGTGTACGATAATATACCCCATCTTATAACTGGGGCAGCATTTTTTAAATTTTCAGAGCTTTATTGCTGCTTTTTGATCTCAAAAGTCTTGTGTTCTTTAATTTTTTTTTTTAAATAAATAGTTTATTTCACTAAAGGTAGTTCCTTTTCAAAAATTCCCACTGAGCTGTAACTGGGTCCATCAGAGTTGTAGGACTACTGCTGTTATCTTCCTGAGGCATAATGACTCTAGAGAATACTAAAATGCAGACATTTTGTAAGACTGCTGCCTACATTTGGAAACAAAAGCCAAAACAACAACAACAACCCCAGTAAGGATGGTAAAAAGAAATCTTACCTTTCCATAAATAAATTGGCACTCAATCCTCATCAAAGAGCAAGAAATATTGGCTATGCTCTCTGAATATCCACTGGTTTTTTTTTTTTTTTTTTTTGGCCAACTACTCAATGAAAGTCATCGCTTATATGTAAATGAACTGTCAATGGTTTGCCACTGTTGGCAATCACTGGACTGTGAAGGGTATGTCTTAATAAGAACCAAAGCTCTTCACAGAGTTTGATTTACTGGAAATAAAATAGAAAAGTCCTCTGGGATTAGGAAGGACACTTGTTTCAGATAAAATGTCTAGACAGTAGCAATATATCTGGGGCTTTTATTATAGCAAAACTGCAAATTAGAATGGAGTGCAGAGAAAGTTCCTGTGACCCAACTGAGTTCAAAAACAGTGCTTCTGGCTGACTTCCCCCCCCCCCCAATGCTTAAATCCATAATAAGCTCATAAGCAGTTCACTCCAAATACAAAATAATGGATGCTGTTTTAGGGATTCAAAGCCACTATAAACTTCTATGCCTTCCCCTGGACTTTTTATCATCTCATTAATGTTATTTCTCTTCAGTGTGTAAATTATCCCATCACAGATAATAATGCCACATTATAATATGTGGAATTTAAGGAATATACTAATTTAAGTTGTTTTTCTTTCATCACTGACTGAAATTCAAGTGCTACAAAATCTACTTCAAAAAAAATGCTTTTTTTAAAAAAAGGAGGAAAAAATACTTGAGAAGAAGTCGAGAGTCAAATGATTGGACAAATTCAAACATTAGGATTAGATTTTACCAGATGATTAAAAAGTAAAGATCTAGAACTAAAACAGAAAGTGCTCTTTTTGAAATGTGTCAGTGTTGCTTTTTTGATATTTCCCTCTGCAAAAATAGTTGTACTTCAGATGTCCCCTTATATTTGTCAAGAATTTTAAGTCTTGGCAGAAAATATTGTTGAATTATGCCAAAACAACTGGCAATATTTTCAAGATGCTTGTTGAGATTGAATGATAATCACATGCAGAACTGACTGGAAATTCATGGCCCGCTCAGGCTACTGCATACTTCCAGCCCTGCTGTGCTATATACCAAGACAGAATGGACTATCTGTTGCTAGTTATTGCCACTATTTTGTATTGTGCAAACATACAAGTGTGTATATAAACTCTGGATCTAGACCATTGCTCCTGGCATCCCAGCTAGAATTTATGGGAGTTCTTATCCAAAAGCATTAAAAGGTTAATAGCATGTAACTTTCACTAATCTTCTTTAGTCATGAACTATACAGGTTTGGTATTGATGAGATAACATTGATAATGAAGAAATGTACTGTAGATAATTTTAGTTTTTCACAAATGGCTTTTAAATTTCTCCGCTGTTCTACATGTTTGTGGGTACGAATGTGGTGCATATATCAATATAAACACACAAATATGTGTGCAGGTGGGATTTGAATCCAGGACTTCCTAAAACACCAGTGTCTACCACTACCACCCTATTTAAAAACGAGGAGGAAAACATTTACTGAAAATCTAGTCTGTATTCTGAAATCAGCACAAACATCTTTATTGTCAGAATAAATTGATATTTACAGTAGTACTGGAGTAACTGATTATACAATGCCTCCACAAACAAGAACCAAGAAATTGTTGAATGCTGAAGTAAGTCACTAATGCTGCAGGTTTAACCTTAATTTACAGGTTCCCTGTCAAACAGTCAAGCTTCTAAACTAGGACTGTTTTTCTCCAAATGTCCAGATTAAGAGTGACAATTTTTAAGAAATAGCTCTTTAGATATCCAATCTTTTTTCTTTCCTGTATTATAATCACTTTTTTAAATAACAATTGATATTTTTGATAATGTGTAATTGCCCTGGAGAGATGTATTTTAGAAGTGTGGTATTGGAAAGGAAAGATTTCCTTCCTTCCTTCCTTCCTTCCTTCCTTCCTTCCTTCCTTCCTTCCTTCCTTCCTTCCTTCCTCCCTCCCTCCCTCCCTCCCTCCCTCCCTCCGCTCCCCCATCTGCCCCCCCGTCTGCAACAGGACTTTAAATTTTTTTTAAAGGTAGCATTTTCAGAGGTTCACTGCAGAGAAAGAACTATATTTTAAAATCTCCTCATGAACTCTTGTGCCACTCTTAGATTAAAAAAAACAAACAACTGCTGTTGAAGCTATAAGTAAATCTAAATGCCTCAAATTAAACCTAGTTTGTGATTGAATGTATTTACTGGCCGGAAATATGTTTATGTATATGCTGGCATATGAATCTGGTATAACCAGGGAATAGTAACAAACCTAGCCATGAACATCTGCTTGCATCTCTTTAGCATCTATTTAATGAGTGAGCAGATTTCAATGCATTTTTATTATGGCCATCTTACTTGTGTAACAAAGTTTGAATGGGTGAATAGATGGAATGTAAGTAGAAATGTGCCATTGTTAGTAGGACAGATTGGGTGTTATATCCCACTCAAACATCAGCCTCTTCTCCCCTTCTGTCCTTCCAGTTGTTAATTCTTTTTCTTGAAATAAAAGTTTTTTGGTTTCTACTGAATTCTGTAGCTATGTTTCCTTTTTTAGGCGATTACTTTGTCTATGTTAGTACTTATATTCATCTGACCTAGTAAGGCATGAGATGGGTTATTGTCAGAGTATGAATATTCATAAACTGGAATAGATCAGCCAATGAATAGGCATAGCAACTAAGTCAGCTAATGAGCGATGTTTGGGAGCTGAGACAGACTGAAGCCAGGGCATGTCTTAGTCTGCAGCTTCTGAGTCTGTGGAGAGAAACTGAAACTAGTCTGCTCTGCTGAAATGAAACTAACTGTTCTCTCCTGCCTTGTGTTTTGCTTGTAACTGCTACGCTGAAAGAATCTACTATTGGTATTGTACATTTATCTTCATGTGTTATATTGGATATAAAGAGAAGTTAATGAATCCTGATGAATCAGTTACTCTGTGTGTGCTTTCTGGATGTTTGATTTCTGCAACAAACTCTGACTGTTATCTATACAAGTGAGATATACTTGATCAGGTATATATAATAATGTTCACCTAACTGTTCTTCAAACTCCGGTACATGGGTACCCTCTCTAATGGTAACAACAATTTGACAATAGGAGGAGGTGGTAAACTCCTCTTTGTATGCAATAAACACCGGTGGTACAGTAATTTGCTGTTTATTTTTTATTCTGGATTTTTGCATGGAGCGTGAGGTTGAATTTGAGGACCTAAATGACCCTTAGAATATGTTTCTGTGATAGTATGTTGTACAGAGCCAAGTCTTTACAGTTTGAAGAATTTGCATTTCAAATGGACTGTTCATAGTGTTTCATCCATAAATTTGAAAATGATGGATTCACATTCTTCATGAATAGGTCCAAGCTGATTTTGTATAAAATCAATGGCGCTTTTTTAAATTATGTGCCATCAAGTCAGTTTCAATTCCTAGCAGACACATACGTAGTTTTTTGCCAGAACAATCCATTCCCCATCTGATCCTTCACATCTTTCAGACATATATCTATTGATGCTATAACTGAGTACATTGTGCTGCTGTTGGTCATCCTCTTCTTTACATTTTTCCTACATTTCCCAGGAACAAGGTCTTTGCATAAAGAGTCCAAAATATGATAATTTGAGGCTGGCCATTTGTGCCTCAGATGAGAACACTTGAGCAATTTATTCTACAATCTAGTTTCTTGGTTGTCTCCTCTAACTCATAGAGCAAGTGGAAATCACCTACAGTCATGCCCAACAATTTTGCCACCTAAATATTTTATGAAGTGACTAAAGCTTTAGTGGGACTGACCTCCATAACCTTGGGGGAAAAAACCAAAGCATCCTCTGGACTACCCCGGATGAATTAGTCAGCCATTAGCCATCAGGAACAATAATCAAATAGGTCTATTCTTCCCATAGGTGTAGGTAGCACCAGTCAGTTCCATGGCAATCAGAGGATGGTCTTACCATTTTTCCAAGGCCCATGACAGTATCTTCTCAAACCTAATTCCATTTGAACCAAGGTAAAAATCAGGTCCAATGTGTGGTTTCCTATATGAGTCAGTCCAGTGGTGGGTTTCAAATTTTTTTACTACTGGTTCTGTGGGTGTGGCTTGGTGGGTGTGGCATGGCTTGGTGGGCATGGCATGGGAAGGATACTGTAAAATCTCCATTCCCTCCCCACTCCAGGGGAAGGATATGGTAAAATCTCCATTTCCTCCCCAATCCAGGGGAAGGTTACTATAGAATCCCCATTTCCTCCTGATCAGCTGGGACTTAGGAGGCAGAGAATAGATGGGGCGGGGCCAGTCAGAATTTTTACTACTGATTCTCCGAACTACTCAAAATTTTCACTACCGGTTCTCCAGAACTGGTCAGAACCTGTTGAAACCCACCTCTGAGTCAGTCCCACAATTCATGTCAAGGATTAAATGAATTCACAAGATACCTCTGATCATTGCCCTAGGAAATATGGTCAAAATACCCAGAATTGGGCTAGAAACTGTATCTCAGAATCTGGGAGCATGGGCATAGAAACTGCTGTGCAATAAGAGACAGTGCAGTAGCAACAATCCTATTTTGTCCCTACGATCCTACTTCAAAAAAAAAAAGGCCCCACAAAGGATTATATCCAGAATAGTGCCTCTAAACACCCGTAGAGTTTCCAGCATGGCAATGGTCGCCCCACCTCTCCAGGCATATTTTGAAGAGTAGTTTATCCCTCTCCTCCAAGTGTTGGTATAAGATTGTGGATGAAAGAGCACACCTGGCTTATATTACCAAGACTTGAATAAGTGCATAGGGGGA